CATTAGCCTTTTTTCCTTCTTCTAATTATTGGTTTACCAACTATTTAAGGTAACCATTCCTAAACTAAGATATTGACATATATCAATAATCTTCTAAATCTTACTCTAACTACGAACAATTTTATTGTGTCATATCTTCCACTCGGTCTCCTAACACTTATCAAGTTTTGACTCTAATTATGAACAACTTTATTGTGTAAAATCTGGCCAGCTTTTGTTCACTTAGTAAATTTTGGAACGTACAATTTCGTTTTTTCAATATTAATAACTTGTTCTTGGTTCATATATACATTAATTACACATACATACGTATAAAAGTAATGTGGTGCTACTCCATAGAGATTCGTCATCGAGTGAGACGTACCAACAAAAACATTTTTAAGCTTATCTCTTCAAAGAATGGACCAAAAAGGGTTACAAACAAGACTAGTGGTTATAGTCTACATGAAATGAGAGGACTTTTGATTAGGGGATCTTACATGTGTAGTGGATTAAAACTATGTCTTTAAATTAGGTTTATAATTAATGAGAACCTCATGGTGTTGGTTTCCCCATTAAATCCCTCCCATTTTTCCCGGATCACATATGTATATCAAACATTAATCAATGATATTGATAAGACTCGTTGTTGTTTTTATAGAGCTTCCGGAGTGATTAGTTTAATTATGGTTTAAAAATTCATTCATCACATGTTTCAGTCACTCCCATCCCATTTTCTCGGATTCCATATTGCTGTCAAAGACTCAAAGTAACTAAAAATGTCCGTGGATTTCGAAGACGTCCCTACTAGACGGGTCCGATGTATCTATGAAATGATATCATCGTTTGTATTTACCTGGTGTTTCCGATTCTCTTTTATTTTGCTAAAGTTCTTCATCATTTTTCATCTGAGTTTATAACAATTCGTATAAGATCATTTCCATTGTAGATTTTACCATGGATCTCTTACCCATTAAAAAAAAAGTATGAAAGAGAAGAATATAAGTTTCTTATTTGAAAGACTCACAAATTTTTAGAGAGATCCATTTAACATATGATATAATAACTATAAAATTGTTTTTTAAAAAGATGCATTTTTACATCGATCAATTTTTTAAAAATACTCAATCCTAAAAGACATTAATAATTACAAAACAGTTTTTTTTTCAAAGACAAAATCCTAGAGAAATTAATAACCATAAACAGTTTTTTTAAAAAGAACGTAAACTTAAAAGACAAAATAACCATAAAACAGTTTATTTTTTCAAAAAGACGCAATCCTAACATAAATAACCATAAAACCATTTTTCTTTTGAACGCAACTTTAGAATGTAAACTATTAAAAAAAATTGAAAACACGCAACATTTGGAAATAAGCATAAAGGGGTTATATCGGAAAGACGCAACTCTTGAAAATAACTATAAAACGATTATATCGACAAGAAGCAGTCTTTAAAAATAATTATAAAGCGGGTTTTTAAAAAAGAAACAACCATAAATCACAACCATGAAGCGGTTATATCGAAAAGACGCAATCTTTAGAAACCATAAAGTGGTTATATCGAAAAAAACACAACTTTTAAAAAATCGGTTGTATCGAAAAGACGCAATCTCTAAAAAGGTAAACATAAAACAGTTATTTTCGAAAATACATAACCTTAAAATATCCATGTTCTAGAATTACTATTATTGATAGATTAATTAAGATTATAATTTTTTTATAAATAACTATAAAACATACACTAAAAATATATTACAAAGAATAATAACATAATATTCTAATATAAAATTTTATATAACGTAACATTCAAATTTGAGATTTTATTATTCAAAACTTTAAAATAAAGTTCTTTTAGGAATACACAAGGTTGTTCTTGTAGTGTGCAAAATAAAAAATTTAAAGGGAATTCGAATAAGCGAGTT